GCCAGATTTCAAGTCTTGATTTCTCTGTTAGCCTCCCCACAACGATCTACTGCACAAGATTCGTCTGCTACTACTAACGCTGATACGACTAGAGGTACTGGTACCTCATTTCCCAGAGTCGGTTCAACAATTCCTCAAAAGGCTGCAGCACAAATGCCTCCCTCTCTGAAGTCTGACGCTTCTTATCAGATATTTCGGGAATGGCGTCGACGTTGGCAAGACTATGCAACAATGGTTGACCTGTCAAGTTTACCACAGCCTAAACAGATGATACAGCTTCGTATGTGCTTGTCCTTAGAGACACAACGTACTCTCGAGCACACACTTCAAGTGCCTCCTACGACAACTCTGACTGTAGATGCCGTGCTGGACAAGTTACAGGAACATGTTAAGGGACAGCGCAACGAAGCACTTAGAAGAAGAGAACTCCTCCAATGTAAGCAGCTTGATGGAGAATCTTTTGATGCATTTTTTGTAAGACTCAAGAGATGTTTAGAGGAAGTTGATGTTTGTCCTGGAAATTCTCAAGTCTGTGAAGAGACACAACTCAAGACAAATATTTTAACGGGTATTCGAGATAAAGAGCTAGTTCAGCGTCTCATTTCACTTGACCCCACTTCCTCCCTTCAAGATGTAGTTACAAAATGTCGAGCGTACGAGGCCGCCAGGTGTGCGACTTCAGCTTTACGTTCACAACCTGACCAGGTGAGGGCAGTGTCTTCCTACAGAAAGGGTAAGAAGCAGCAAGGTAACCCCACCCCTCACCCTCCAGCTACACCTTCAGCAGCAGCTTTGTGTAACAGCTGTGCGAGACAGCATAATGCCTCCCAGTGCCCAGTTGCTCAAAGCGTGTGCAAAATTTGCGACCGTCAGGGTCACTGGGCTTACACAGTCAAGTGCCCTGCTAGCAAAGTTCAGTGCAGACTTTGTGGTCGTGTGGGCCATTATGACAAATGTTGTCGTAAGAAGACACAGAAAGGACACCACCTAGGATCCAAGAAGTCATCCTCAGGTAGTGCTGGCGCGCCCCCTCCTTCTGGCAAGCATCAAGACGCTGTGTCCAGACGTTCCTGCCGTCGTGTACATTGTTCCACAGACACGACGCCCCAGCACATCAGTGTCGTCATTTCTCACGGTAACTTGTCATCCAGTCTTCAGATGTTACCTGACACCGGTGCTGACGTCTCAGCAACCTACAGCCCCCTCCTCAGACAACGAAACTGACAGCTGATGGCTCCAAGATGGCTCCAGCTTTGGGATCTTTCTGGGCTACTCTTACCTTTGGTAAGCAGTCTTGCTCAGCCCGGATTGATGTTCATGATGGGATCCCGACTCCGCATTTATCATATGGCCATTGTCAAGGGTTGGCCATTATTTCCAAGGAATTCCCCAAACCTATTTTAAAGGTCACCCATGTCAACAGGTTGAAGGAACTCCCTATCTCTACTAACACCACTCTCTCAGCATCAGGTATCGCAGCTGACCCGGAGAAATTAAGTGGAATCAGGGATTTTCCAACCCCTGCCAACCTGACAGACCTCCGTTCTTTTTTGGGTCTGGTCAATCAGCTGGCTGAATTTTCACCTGACATCTCGGCCGCAGCCCAGCCGTTACGCCCTCTGCTGAGCCCCAGGAGGACATTCCTGTGGACCCCAGATCATCAAGAGGCCTTCCAGCGAGTCAAGCAGGCCCTCTTAAGTCCACCTGTCCTCGCCTGTTACGACCCAGCCCTACCCACCGTCCTCCAGACTGACGCCTCCAGACTCTACGGCGTTGATTACGCCCTTCTGCAGGACCATGGCGGTGGACAACTCCGCTTAATTCAGTGTGGATCCTGGTTCCTGACGGGCGCCGAGACCCGATATGCCACGATTGAGCTGGAGATGTTGGCTGTTGTCTGGGCGATGGCAAAGTGCCGCTTCTACCTGATAGGACTTCAGCACTTCACCCTCTTCACGGATCACCGCCCTCTTGTACCTATTATATCAATCACTACTCTTTGGATGCAGTAGAGAATCCTCGCCTTCAACGTTTGAAAGAGAAGCTCTCGCCTTATCTCTTCAATGCTGTGTGGCGTACCGGTAAGCTGCTGTGCATCCCAGATGCCCTGTCCCGCGCCCCTGTCAGTCGCCCCACCCCTGAGGACGAGATGTTGTGCTCTACAGCTGCTGCATCCCTCAAGTCAGTAGTCTCATTGAAGGCCGTCTTCACATCAGAAGAGTCTACAGCACCGGATGCAGACAAGACCCTTGAAGATCTCCGCACCGCAGCCCGGGCCGACCCTTCCTACATCCGGCTCGTCAACTGTGTGTCCCAGGGATTTCCATCTAACCGATACGACCTTCATGAATCGCTACTCCCGTACTGGAAGATACGCGAGGACCTCTATTGTGACGGAGACCTCGTCTTGTATGGTCCACGAGTAGTCATTCCTGCTGCCCTACGCCGCCGTACCTTGACCCGCCTTCACGACAGCCATCGAGGAGTGGAGGCCACCAAGCGACGGGCGAAGCAGACTGTATTTTGGCCCGGAATCGACGCGGACATTGCAAGTACCGTCCGTGTCTGTGAGCCGTGCCAGATTCTGCAACCCAGCCAGCAACAGGAACCTTTAATGTGCAACGATAACCCTTCAAGACCCTTCGAGTCTGTGTCGGCTGACTTCTTTGCAGTGGCAGGGAAGTCCTTCCTCGTCATTGCCGACCGATTGTCTGGATGGCCTGTTGTTGTTCCCTGTGGTAGTGATACAACGGCTACTGCTACCATCCGGAACTTCAGGCATTACTTCAGAGAAGTCGGTGTTCCCCCCCGCCTCAGGACTGATGGAGGACCCCAGTTCACCAGCCACGAGTTCCGGGACTTCATGGACCGTTGGGGAGTCCGTCATGTCGTGACCTCGCCCCACTACCCCCAGGCGAATGGACACGCTGAAGCCGCAGTCAAGACTGTTAAACACCTGATCCTTAAGGTGTCACCCTCAGGAAATATCGACTGCGAGGACTTCGATCGAGGTTTGTTGGAGTTACGCAACACCCCGAACTTCACCGGACGCTCCCCAGCCCAGGTTCTATACGGACATCATCTCAGGTCTTGTGTTCCTGCCCACCCGAAGTCTTTTTCTCAAGAATGGCAGGCCAAGACTGAAGAATGTGACCTCCGTGCAGCAGAACGAGCTGCAGATGTCACTGCTCGGTACGACTGTCATGCCCGCCCCCTTCCCATGTTGAGTATCGGCCAGCAGGTCAGGATTCAAGATCCGGTATCTCACCGCTGGGACAAGGTTGGGGTTGTCATGGGTATTGGCCGGTACAGGGACTACCAAGTGCGTCTTCCTAGTGGTAGAGTATGGTGGAGGAACCGTCGTTTCCTCAGACCTGTGGAGCTGCCTAGTGTTGACCCTTCCCCAGTTGAGTCCCCGAATGTTGATGCCTTTACAGTAAATCCATCCTCACCTTGTGTTTCTGCCCCAGTACTCCGCAGGTCCGAGCGGCTCAGAAACAAAAGGTCCGCTCAAGATGAAACTATGAGCGTATAGGGGGGAGGGAGGTGTATAATATGGACACGAAGTAGTACCTTAAGCTGTGTATCCTTATATTACTCTATTAATTATGTATAGTAAAGTATTACAGAACATGTATTAATCCTATGTAATATTTCCATTTATTATGCACCATGTTATGTATATATGAATTATCATATTTACATTGTATTTATTCAGCTTGTGAATGCTGGCATCTGTACATGCCAGCGCTCAGTGATACAGAGAGTGAAGACCACCAGTCCTTATGGTGTGGAAGCGAGTTTCTTTGTCCATCTTTATTCATCTCCCGTACGAGAATAAGAACCTATTTTTAAGATAACAAGTGTTTGTGTATACCCTCAGTAGTGTAGAACATTTTGGGGGTACCAAAGACAAACATAGAGTACCCTCCTCTGTAAATTGTACCATGATTTTAAGGGATTCACATTGGTAAGTTATTTAACACTAACACAGAATTTCATACTCACCATCATCCAACTCTCAATACAACTTTCTTAAGTTTCATGCACAATAAAACACTTTATTCTCTGTAAATTGATGCCAACAAACATCACAAACGAACTACAGCAATTATTAATTATTTTTCATACAACACCGTCACTATGAATCTGAAACAAAATATTACAGTCAACACATATTGTAATCGCTCATAGGAGCGATTTTGGTTTGTGCAGGACAATAAGACTCTTGTCGTTGACGTGATGAGTATAATTCGGTCAAAACCTGATGAATACAATTCACATATAACAAATGCTGGTACATCAGGACACAGTTTGAATGATACGATCAATATACTGTACATAATTACACTTATTAAAGTTATTAGAGTTCTCAGAGGACTGAACAGTTCACAATCACACTCATGTTTTGGGTCTAGGGTTAGACCAACGAGAACAAATCTAATGTCCTGCGGGTGATATTGGCTGACGAGAATCCAGATGTTGCCTTTACAGTAGAGGGCAATAGACTGTCCCTCAGATGCTACCAGCTCCATCTCGCTCAGTAAGCTATTCTGAGCTGTAAACAGTTTCTTCACTAAACATGTGGCCGACGTGCACAATTAACACCTCAGCAAAGTTCGTTTTCAACACTCTGTCTCTCTCCTCTCTCCCTTTCTCTCTGTCTATCCCTCTGCTTTTCTCCCTCTTCTAGTTGATCTTACTGTGGCGTTAACACATATTGTTTATAAAATTAATTTGGATTTGAATAATCCAAACTCAATCAAACCTCAATTAATACCTCTCATTAATCCACTTATGCTGCCAACCAATTATACACTGCCCTGTTTACACACAAAATTAAGAGACATTAACAACATTAAATATATTCCTCTAATACAGTTTAACTTCACCTGAAACTCTCGCATAGGTTTGCTCTTCATATACCCAAATCTATTACGGGCTGTAGAACGTGGTCTAGATCCGCGTAACAATAGTAATTAGTTTTTATTCCCTGACAGTGTGAGATAAAAAATGTTTACAATTATGAGACCAGCGGTGAGAGTGTGGGGGGTGGCATCAAGCACTCCACCATCTACGCGGAGGTCTTTCTACTTGGCGAGGACATTAGGCTCGTATAACAGTATCCCGTCCTTCCCGCCCACTTCTACATCATTATCAAGGTAAGGAGACTTAAGGGTACAGCACAACCTTCAGGTGAAGAGTCTTTCCATGTGTATTAGGTTTATGGTGAGTTTTGAAAATATAACGAAACACAACCATCATATACACATAAATCATATACTACCGAAGGTAAAATATATCGAACTTTATCCTTGTGATGCTGTTCATATTTTGATTATATTATTATATTATGGTGTATAATCTTGTTTAGTGATTACTATGTTCAGGGGACATGCCTTCATGTTGGACAACGCGAGTGGAAGTGTCAAGTGCAAAGTGGATGAAAAAGTTGAATATGAATGATAAAATCATTTACTAAGAAGCCAGTCAATAAATTACATGTAAAGAGTTGCGTTGTGTACAGTGTGTCTGTGTGTGTGTGTGATTCTCTTCCAGCCAGCCTGTGCATCTCAAGACTTTGGCAGACTCTGTGCCCGTGTCTTCAGTTGTAGGAAGCTGAAATTATGCACGAGTTCTTCCCCACTCTGTTATATGGCAGCGAACATGGGTCACATACAGGAGGCACCTCAAGGCACTGAAAACTTTTACCAACGTAGTCTACGTTCCATTCTCCAAGTTTGCTGGTAAGACAAGAGTACCAACGCCAGTATTCTCGCTGACACCAACTGAAGGAGCGTCGAGACTGCCATTATCCATGAACAACTACGCTGGACTGGCCATGTTTCCCGCATGGGCTTCAGTAAACTGCCAAAGCAACTGCTATATAGTCACCTAACGAATGGTACATGTAACGCTGGTGGACAAAGGAAAAGGTATAAGGATAATCTTAAGACAAACCTGAAAAAGTACCAACTCTACCCCCTCACCTGGGAGACGATCACGCCACACCGTAACGCTTGGAGGAGCACCACACGAGAAGTGTGTCCATAGTTTCGAGTCAACCCGACTGCATATCGAGGCACACAAGCGCTGCCGCCGCCCCTCCAGCACTAGATGTAGCCCTCCACACATGCAACACATGTGGACGGCCCTGCCTGTCCCTTATCGACCTTTCGAGTTACCTCAGAGCTCGATTCCGAGTGACAGCCATGTAGTTATAGTAGTGTGTGTGTGTGTGTGTGTGTGTGTGTGTGATTCTTTAGGTGTTTGCGTGTTTGTATGAGTGACTTTGTGTGTGGGTTTGCATTTATTTTGTCTGTGTGTGTTTGTGTATGTTTTTGTGTATATTTTATGTGTTTATGTGTGTATTTGTTTGTGCTAACGAATTATACACAACATACTAACATAATCAGCGTGGGTGTGAGGGAGCTGAGCGAGAAGACCAGATGGTTGGGGCAGCTAAACCTCAATTCTCGCCTGTACTTCGAGGCACACAAGGTGGGCGTAAAACACTCTAGTATGGTGAACAACATAATCACGGCACGACCTATCCACCACCAGAACATGGTCGATACCCTCCTTCATCTCTGCAAGTGAGTATTTGTAGCTTTTGAATAAACGAAAAACTATTGAAATTTCTATACAGTCTATTTAACAACGTAGCATGTACAATATTGACAAAGGGCTTATTATCATGGAGCGTACAGGCCGTGTCCCCCTTAACGTCGAGATGCCTTCAGTGTGGCAGTAAGAATTACGATAAGAGCTTATTAATTAAGTGTCCTTCAGGTTATATGCGTGTCTCCACTTACCTCCATGACCTTTAACCACCTTGGCCACTTAAGAGAGTCATTCACACACATAAATAGACGTACAGGACAGTTGGTTGACAGTTAATGATCATCTTACCAAAGATCAGCTTCCCCAATCACGTTAACTAACCATTAACCCATGTCGTTCAGACCTAAAGAAGCCACCAGTCATATTATAGATCTTAATGAGCAAGAGCGAACACCCCGTCAATCTTTGATGAAGATAACAGTTTCTGGCCAAACTTACGCTCCTCTCTGTCAACTATCTCCACCTGAGTTGTTCGAGATGATGAATGTACGCTTCACTTCGACGCACAAGTGTGAAAAGTACTGTTACACGCTGTCATCCCGGTCAGAGTAACATTACCCTAATTATACATGAGAAAATCACCATCTTCACTTAATTATTCACATCACCTAAACTCACAGGAATTCCCTTACAATTCACAGCCACAGCATTCGGTTGTCTCTAATCATAGAATAGGTTATATTTTGACCTAATGGCTGGAATAGCTATATCCTGTAGGAGGAGGGTAGGAAATAGATGATTGTCATTCCTAACTCAGACGGAAGCAGAGGTTTCTATCAGAACACTTGGGAACTTAAGTAGTAACAGACATCATTCACCTTGACGCTCCTTGGATCATTATTGTGTGTATAAAGTAGTATTTTTATGTTCTTACTTGAATCATTTCATAATAATATTGCTCTGCCACTGACCTAACTGTAGTCATCATATCATAGCCATAATATACAGTAACAGTAAGTAAGAGTTCTCTCTCACCCCCACCAGGAAGATACCCATCCTGAGGGTGAACATAAAGCCACGAGGCGGACAACCCTGGTACTACGAAGACGAACACATCAACTTAGATTTTCAGGTAAATATTAAAGGTGACTGATCAAGTGGGTCTCAACCCTAAAGGACCATAACCAAACATGATCATTAGGACTGGAGTCTAGTGTTTAAAACAGCTACAACCCTAACGATCACAA